TGAGGAGTAATTTGGGGGGGGGGGGTCATCAAAGTTTTAGTTCTGACAATGTTCCGACCTTTTTAAAATATGTTTAGAACATGAAAATATTTGATTATTACATGGCCACAAGTTTAATTACAGAAGCTTTTGCACTATTACTAAGGTCATGAAATAAACACTTTTTAATTTACCTTTTCGACTCTAAAGACACGTGTAGCAACACGTGACCAAAAATGTAAACAAATGCCAAAAGTTCGGACAAGCTTAACTGTTCAAACCAATCGAACATACAATCAATTGTATGTTCGAACAAAAGCTTGTCTGAACTTTTGGCATTTGTTTACATTTTTTGGCCACGTGTTGCTACATGTGTCTTTAGGGTCGAAAAGGCGAATTGTTTATTATAAACTGCATGATTAATACATACCATATATTTATACACTTGTACTGTATTTATATAAAATACCTGGGGGGTGGGGGGTCACAAATGTTTTTGATCTTTTCTTGGGGGAGGGCTAATGTGATTTTTGCTCTTGCCAGAGCAGGGTCCCCCCCCCAAAAAAAAACCCATAAATAATGAACACTCCCTAACAAAAGATTTAATTGGTAATAGATAGCTATTTTAGTCTGGTTTTCAAAAAAACTTTAGTTACTCCGACACGGACTATTGAGATTAACCCATTGAGCCGCAATGTGCACATTTCATTACAATGTAAAACTGCGTCCTCACTGTAATTCTCATAATCTGATGTCGATTTGAACTTCTAACTGCATGTCATCTTCCTCGAGCTTTGGCACTTGTTTTCCTTTGATTTTGTTACGAAGAGCAAGTGTTGCCTGCGGTCTTCCTTCCAGACACTTTTTCCAAAACAATACGCCTGCATCAAAATTACGACCGAGTTCGTACTGAATTTTAATTATCATAACGGGTGACATGCACATGCCTAACCGATTCAGGCAGATCGAGTCCTGATGACTAACCCCACTATGAAAAAGAATAATTGAAATTCTGTATGCCAGAGCAGACATGCATTTATTTCTTTCTCTACATAACACAAGAGGTAGCTAAACATACAGAGTTGATTGCAGATTGTTCAGGTTCTTGTTTTGGACCAACTCCAATGGCTCCAATAAGGCAACAATGCCATGTTGGGCACTCAATTTTGATTTCCTTCTGAAGCAGTGCATTGGAAAATGAAACTTACTCTTCTAGAGAATTACCTTTGAGTATTGAGTCAGAGGAGCAAAAACTTTTACATTCATTATTTACGATTTTCTGCAACGAGTTTAGCATTTCAGGCTTGATGCTTTTATGTTTCCAAACACAACTTGCAGCTTCCTTCCATCTCTTAAGCGCGATATTTGTCAATAAATTAATTGTATCTGTATCTTCACCGGATGGAATTCGAGCATCAGTGTGCCCGTTTGGCCATTGTATAAGAACTTTAACCCTCGTCTGTCATCCTTCTAAAACGTCGCCGATTTCTACTGGTAGTTATAGATGTTTGGCCCATCTTTCTCCTGTTTTTTTCTCATCTGAATCCTGCTGCGATTGGCCGTGTTGACCATCGAAAACCAAGGACTTTCGAGTTGATTTCGTGGAATGAGGTACACATTTAGATTTTTTATCTCTTGGTGCCTTGGATAATCGAGGGCTTCTCTCTGGAATAGACAAAGTTGTTGGCAGACCTCTTTATATGCATGGTTCAGTTTGAAGATTCTCATTGTCATCATCATTTTTTAAACAATCTGGATTTAATGTATTTAGATTCTTGGCAGTAAAAGCAAATCCATCGCAAGTTCTCTTAATTGTTCCTGTGCATGTCCTGCATAATCTTCCAGACCATTCTGGGCCTCGCTCACAAACAATCCCGATATTTTTCAAAATAAATTCAAAACTATCTTGCCCTACTACTGTTGGTTTGAACAAGTTCACTGTTGAAACGGACCTCCATGTATCTCCATATTTTATTTTTAAACAAGCATTGCAACAACGGCAAAATTCATTTACATTTTTAGAGGTTGTTTGCATGTAAATTTTTTTGAAAGTTTCTTTGTAACTTGCCATTGACTTGTTGTAAATAATCATGTGTTGAACTTGAAATTTTGCATTTTGTTTACATATATTCACAAGCTATTTCACATTAAGGCGTGTCTTATATTAATTTGTTACATTGTAATTTTGTAATTAATGATTAAAATTTGACAGATTTTACATTTGATTGACAACAATAACAAGATGGGCACAGACGCATTTTTATTGACTAGACCGGCAGGCTCTAATTCAATTCAAAGAGCCTGTTTGCAGGCTAATACTTCATTTATATTTTGCAACAATTGCCAAGCATGTGTGCAAGGCACATTGTAAATGCAACATGAATCAATTAGATTTCTCGCCAGAGCTATGCCAACCCTTAACCCGCAAACAGGCATGCTCAGAAAACGAGATTGCCCTAACAAGGGAATGGAATAAAAGGGGGGAAGGGGTGGCCAGCTCAAATTTAGTTATTCATATCAGTATTTACTACTGTTTTTATACATGAAAACTTTGTGCAATTCTTAATATATGACATTTATTTTGGACTTACCTATAATATCAGCTGTTTTGTTAGGCAATCTTATTTCCTGACGTGGAAGGACATGTCAACTCAGAATGGAATAATGAATGTCTTCAAATCGACCAAGCTGTGGACTGCACCATCAAAGGAGCAATATTTGCTGATTTATGTGAAAGAATTGTGCGACTCATATGCATCAGCTGCCAATGCACACAGCGTGTTCCCAATCAAAGTAAGCTCAAAAACATAAACGGCATGAAATTAAAATATTATATATCATTTATGAATTCAGAGAGTTTTGATTTATACTATAATTACAGGTCCTTAGCAAAGCTGAATTGTCCATATTTCAATATTTGTACTTGTATGAGCTCTTACAAGAATTATTTAATAAAGCATACATATGACCCTTGAAACCCTCTTCACGTATTTGCCATTTGTATCCATTGCCATTTATATATATATATATATATATATATATATATATATATATATATATATATATATATATATATATATATATATATATATATATATATATATATATATATATATATATATATATATATATATATATATATATATATATATATATTATAAAAAGTTTTGGTTCAAGGCAGTTTTCCACTAGGTGAAATTTTTCAACTGAACCAAAGTTTCTATTGGTCAAATTTGTAGTATTAGTCAATTAGAATGAATATTAATGTACTAATTAGCATACGTATTTGTGTATAAATACTGGTACAATATTTTAAATAAATCAGATAACATTACATGGTGTCAGGTGTGGGATTCAAAAACGTTGAAGCAAGAGGACTCTTGGAGAGAAGTGGAAGTCCGGTCTGTTGAGGACTAAGAGGTTACCTCAGCTTGCAACAGAATCCGAAGATGTTATCTCAAAATGGTGATGGTACACAACATGTACAACACCTACAACAAGTAAAACCACCTGAGAAATTCAATTTTAAACCAGAAGATTGGCAAAGATGGATTAGACGCTTTGAAAGGTACTGAGTGGCATCAGCACTCGATAAAGCCCCAGAAGAGAATCAAGTGAACACATTAATTTACACAATGGGGGCCGAAGCTGACGATATTATAGAATCGCTGGGTATCTCGGAAGCGGAGCAGAAGAAATACGATATTGTAAAACAAAAACTCCAACATTTCTTTATAATAAAGAGAAATGTCATATTCGAGCGGGCCAAGTTTAACCTTCGAAATCAGCAAGAAAGTGAGCCAGTAGAAACATTCATTACCGATCTGTTCAATCTAGCAGAACATTGCAAATTTGGCAGTCTTCGAGAGGAGCTCATCCAAGACTGCATTGTGGGGATACTGGACAAAAGCTTGTCGGAAAAGCTACAATTTGAAGCCGATTTGACCCTAGAAAAGGCTATGAACTTAGTTCGACAGCGGAAATTAAAACCCAAACCTCAACCATTTGCTATAAATGTCCCCAGAAAGGTACCCTTTCCTATGTTTGACAAAATGAAATGTGAGATTGATCGCATGCTACAAATGGGGGTCATTTCTAAAGTTGAACAGCATACTGAATGGTGTTCTCTGATGGTTGTGACTCCTAAGCTGATACTTTGCAGAGTGCTGTAGTGTTTTGTAGCACTTTAAAAAAGGTTGTATACTTTGCAGAGTTTTGTAGCAGGGGCTGATCTAGGTTTGTGGCAGGGGCCCAGCTAGAAAATTGTTAAATAAAATAGCAGTCCAGTTATCAAACTTCGCACAGTGTATTGTATTGAAAATTAACAGTCCAGACGTCCTGTTGTGAAATATCATCCAGTAGCAAGGCCTTCAAACATGAACGCAAGAAAAGCGGTCTTATGCATGAGTTTTGCACGCTTTGGGTCAGATTCCAGCCTTCTGATTGGCTATCTCGATTTTTGCGCGATCTGTGGGGAGTTCTGATCACTGAGGCGCTCAGGGGCTAGAATACAGGCTATGCGATTGGCTAATTCCAATTGGCTGGATTTTTTTGGTCGATCATGCTGTTCAGGCTATAGTATGCACGGAAAGGTCTATGACGTTTCTGGACCTTTCTGATCGCTTCAATCGTAGGTTCTATCAAAGTCAATTGGAAAATTTATCAGAAGTTCTGAAGTAATACTAGCCATGTCTGTCAGTATTTACGAGACTGTAAAGGCTGCTTTAGAGAAAGACGATCGAAAAATATTGAAGCTGATCTAAAGAAGAGAAAAGACAGTGTACCCAAGCATAAATTGAGGACTTATTGAGCACTGTGAACAACACAAGTTTCTTCCTCACACACAATTTTGGTGCAGAAACTTACATTCCAGATTTGTATGGCCTTAAGGTAAATATATTCCATTTAACTAGATATAACATTTAGCATCTGTACGTATAAAATCGCCGCCGGGTACATCATACATGTATAATAAAGAGATGAAATTCACATAATATTTCAATCAATGGACATAAATATTGTGAATCATTCATGGCAGTGGCACATGTTTCTGCTTTATTTATTGCTGTTGATTACACATACTAGTCTAGAAACTAGGGTTAATACTTAATACTCAATATTAAATCAATACTTTGTAAACCCCAATTTTAAAGCCTTAAAATTGGGGTTTACAGACCAGTAGTAGTTGCAATTTTTTCAGATTGTTACAATTTTGTTTTGAGACGTTCCTGTTGCTTGTATTCATTTTTCTAATGGTGCGTCCCTAACCCACTGTTATATGGTCCGTCCCTAACCCCTGACAAATAAAATCGCCTGGCATTAGACAGGGTAAAGTAATAAACTAGGGTGCATTGCCACTTACAGGGTTAATGTTTTCTATCTTAGATCTGATGTTACTGGAAATTGCTTGTATAGCTCTGCATCCTTGGTACAAGTAGGTAACAATAGTCTAATGGAACCGTTGAGAATCTTGACATCAATAGAACTTTTTACTAATACTGAATTTTATACTCAGCACCCTTTGTTTCTCTTCTGCTGTAAATGAGCATGCTGAGTACTTCAGCAAAAGTATTAATAATCTTTTACCTATGTTATGAGTGTTGAGACACAGCTTGCACTAAAGCCGACATTAGACAGGAGGCCATTCATAATTGCAGTGAGAAGAAATGGTCATCATTTCTCTGCATATTGGGTCTTGCTTCTGTTTTAAATAAGACTATATTTAGTTATTATCTTGATTGTGGGGCTCATAGGTATAAACTGTTACTTAATCTCATGAATCGACCCTGCTTAACTCCAAAGAAAGGTTTGGATGATCTTCATATTTTATTCAACATTCCAGTCAAATCATATTGTTCCTCTAGCTGTTCCTTCCCAAGCATTCACCAAGAAGCAAAAACTTTCTCCAATTCTTCCGAAAAAAGCCTTGAATATTGCTAAGTTTTTTAATGTGGCAGAGAAATCTGTTTTAAAGCCAAAATCTCATATGGCCCAAAGCGAGTCGTTTCCCCCCCTTGATAATAGCAAACTATATCTAAGTAAACCTAGTACTTCAACTAACACAAAAAGCAATGTTTTAGAATCGGGTGAGACACCCATTACAAAAAAGGTAAAATCACATGTTACTAATTTTGATGTTGCAATGTACAGGGATATGGTTAAGGGAATGAGCTCATCTGAAATTTGCAATCTTATTCAAAATGTGTTTAAACCTGACAAAAAATATATTCATATCCTAAGACTAGTGTCAGAAGCTTCAGGTATGATTGGCTAGAATTACATTTATGGCTTTGTTATTCACCTTCTCAAGATGGTGCATTCTGCCTGTCATGCGCGTTCTGTTTGGAGATCGCTTTTCTGGTAAATGTAGCAAAATTCATTGTTTATTTTCCCAGTCTCTTCGCCGTTGGAGTGGTGCAGCATATACTTTGAAATATCATGCTGGACAGGGTTTAGGTGGGGAAATGAGCCTGCATGCATGTACCTTCCCTATACTGACATCTTTACTTTCCCAAATGTCAGGGAAAGCATGGCCAATAGAGGTAATTTTAGATACTAACCTCAAAAAAGAAATTGAGGAAAATAGAAAGAAACTTGCCTCAATTGTAGATTCCGTTATTTTTTGTGGCCATCTTGGTTTACCATTACATGGTCATCGTGATGACTCTAAATACCATCGAGAAGTTGGCAATTACTGTACAGCGGGAGTTGGTAATTTTGAAGAATCTCTTAATTTTAGAGTTCAGGCAGGGGACAAAGTTTTGCAGCACCATTTGAAAAATTGTGGTAAAAATAAGAGTTATATTTCTAAGTTATACATTCTTATAGTTATATGTCAGTTATGTTATTTTAGGGTTAAAGTACAATATTTAAAGCTATGTTATTCGCAATAAAACTTGTTGGCAAAAGGAATATGAAGGAGTGCAAAAATTCATAAATTATGGCTATAAATAGCTCTATTGTTTACTTTTGTGGGGTCAATTTCCATATAAATATCCCGAAATGACGTCATTAATTACCAGTGACAAAATAAGTTCATATACTTTATGTGGTATATATATTGTTGTTTACCGGTTATTGCTGTTATAAGCGTTATAGACGTTATTGGCGTTATAGTCGTTATTGGCGTTATAGACGTTATTGGCGTTATAGACGTTATTGGAGTTATTGGAGTTATAGTCGTTATTGGCGTTATAGACGTTATTGGCGTTATAGACGTTATTGGAGTTATAGACGTCATTGACGTTATTGGCATTATAGTCATTATTGGCGTTATAGACATTGCCGTTATAGACGTTATAGTCGTTATTGACGTTCTAGTCGTTATTGGCGTTATTGGCGTTATAGTCGTTATTGGCGTTATTGGCGTTATTGGCGTTATTGGCGTTATTGGCGTTATAGTCGTTATTGACGTCATTGACGTTATAGACGTCATTGACGTTATTGGCATTATAGTCGTTATTGGCGTTGTATACGTTATTGACGTTATAGACGTTATTGGCGTTATAGTCGTTATTGGCGTTATAGTTGTTATAGGCGTTATTGGCGTTATAGGCGTTATTGGCGTTATAGGCGTTATAGACGTTATTGGCGTTATAGTCGTTATTGACGTTATTGGCGTTATAGGCGTTATTGGCGTTATTGGAGTTATTGGCGTTATAGTCGTTATAGACGTTATTGGCGTTATAGTTGTTATTGGCGTTATAGTTGTTATTGGCGTTAAAGACTATATAGACGTTATTGGCGTTATAGACTATATAGACGTTATTGGCGTTATAGTCGTTATTGACGTTATTGGCGTTATTGACGTTATAGTCGTTATAGTCGTTATTGACGTTATAGTCGTTATAGTCGTTATTGACGTTATTGGCGTTATAGTTGTTATTGGCGTTATAGTTGTTATTGGCGTTATAGACTATATAGACGTTATTGGCGTTATAGACATTATTGGCGTTATTGGAGTTATTGGCGTTATAGTCGTTATTGATGTTATTGGTGTTATTGACGTTATTGGCATTATAGACGTTATTGGCGTTATAGACGTTATTGGCGTTATTGGAGTTATTGGCGTTATAGTCGTTATTGGTGTTATATACGTTATTGACGTTATAGACGTTATTGGCGTTATAGGCGTTATTGGAGTTATTGGCGTTATAGACGTTATTGGCGTTATAGTCGTTATTGGCGTTATATACGTTATTGACGTTATAGGCGTTATAGTCGTTATTGGCGTTATAGTCGTTATTGGCGTTATAGTCGTTATTGATGTTATAGTCGTTATTGGCGTTATAGTTGTTATTGGCGTTATAGTCGTTATTGGCGTTATAGTTGTTATTGGCGTTACAGTTGTTATTGGCGTTATAGTAGTTATTGGCGTTATAGTCGTTATTGGCGTTATAGACGTTATAGTTGTTATTGGCGTTATAGACGTTATAGTCGTTATTGGCGTTATAGTCGTTATTGCCGTTATTGACATTATAGTCGTTATTGGCGTTATAGACGTTATTGCCGTTATTGGCGTTATAGTTGTTTATTTATTTATTTAAAATTATTTTAAAACGGTAGCTCTTCAGGGCTCGTAGGCACCTGTTTTTCAAGAGGCTGTTTATTACAGTATTTACAAGCTATATAAGTATAATAACACAAATATACACACAAAAACAGAGAAAACATAAACTTAATAATTGCATGCACTACATTTGTATCTAAAAATATCCTATCCTATTTAAATATTTACAAAGTTACCAAAAGGAATGAAGTGCCGTCAAGAATACGTTTAAATTTGTTAAGGCTAATGCCTTTTTCTTTTGCTGTAGTTGTTAAGTCATTCCAAAGGGATGCAGCTGAATAACTGAAGCTCTTTTTCATAAAATTTGTTTCAGGTTTTCCAAGATCATAGTTGTTATTGTTACTTCTTAAATCATATCTGTCATTTATTTTAATTTTGAACATGTTGCAAATTGATGATGGCATTTTTTCGTTTTGTATTCTGTGCATAAAAATCGATTTATTGGTTTTATAGCGTTGGTTTAAAGGTTGCCAGTCTAATTCTTTTAAAACATCCTCAGAACTAACTTCATAAGTTTTACCAATGATGATTCGGGCCGCTCTGTTTTGTAATTTCTGAAGTCTGTTTTGAAAGTAATCACATGCAACAGTTATCCCAAACCAAGCTACAATAATGTGTGCACAATGGCATTATATATTTTTACTAAGGTTGATTTGGGAACAAACTGTTTTATTCGTCGCATCATTGGCGTTATAGTCGTTATTGGCGTTATAGACGTTATAAAAAATATAAAAATAAGAAATGAATTCATCCAAAAGGTCTCTTATACAAATTTTTTGGGTGTACTAATTGATGAAAATTTAACGTGGAAAAATCATATTGATTCTATATATATGTAAAACTATTATCAAGATAGTTGGACTAATTTCAAAATTGCGACATTTTACGAATTTGAACACTATAAAGTTGACCTATTATGCCTTAATTTATCCATACCTTACATATGGTATTAAATTTAGCTTGGGGTAATACATACCCTTCGAAAATTGAAAAGCTTTTCAGAATTAAAAAAAAGACTATTCAATTAATGAAATTTAAATCATACACAGAACATACAAAACCGCTATTTAATGATTTGAAAATATTAAATATTTTCAAAATTAACGATTAGCTTACCAGCTTATTTATGTACCGTTGCAACTGTACTAATGATTTACCCGACATTTTTAGTGGATATACTTCATAAAAAATTCAAACATTCATGAACATTGCACTCGAAAGTCAAAAAAATTGCATAAAGTTTATACAAGAACAAACTACAGAAAACAATCTGTTGTTAGTAAAGGTATTGACATTTGGAATAATTTAAGTACTGAGTTAAAAAATATTGGATCTTATATGGTTTTCAAAAAAAATGTGAAAACATACTTTATATCACACCAATCAGCCAATTAATCATCCTATTTTAATGTATAAAGTTTAAAAAATCTGAAAAATCTTGTAAATAGACAAACTTTCCTTTAAAAACCATCACAATTGTATATATTTTCGTTAATATATTATGTACTATTCTTATGACATCATGAAATTATACTAAGTAAAAAATGTTTTCTAAAAGATCTCTAAAAGGTTTCTAAAAGATCTCTAGCCCCTACGTATAGATTATAAAAATGTAAATAGCTAAATTTTATTGTACTTTGGAAAATTGGGCGAAATAAACTAATAATAATAATAATCCCCGAGCCGGCGGCGCGAAGCGCCTTGCGAGGGTACTAATTCCCCCTGGCTATTTACACCCGGGGAAACGAAAGCATTAGCGAAGTCTAAAGTTCATCAATGAGCGCGGGCGTCGGTCACCAACGATGGGTGGTCATCCTCACTGATCTCAAAAATATGGCGGACTGTCATGAATAACGGACACTGATTGGTCCAATTTAAAGTTTGCATTATAACGACTGCATGACGACAGCGAAATAGCAAACATTTCTTGATTTGATGAGTTGATGATTGATAAATTTCTTGCAGATATTCTTCATTTTTGCTCATATTTCTGCAAGATTTTGTAAATTTCAAGAAAGAAAGGGCGAAAGAATCAGCTAAAAGAAGGGAGCCGACCTTAACGAAGGTAAGTTTGTTTTAAATATTGATTTTATAATGGCTTTAAAACCCGACGGCCTTTGCGTATATGAAACAACCAAACAAGACAGCATATAATTTCAGTGTATCTTTAATATTGATTCCCTTTTTTATTATATTGAATTTTTTAAATAAAAAATAAAGCAAAGTTGTTTACAAGCGAGAATTTCAAATCATTTTATTGCAAACTCAAAGTTTATCGATAAAGCCATTTAATAGTTAAAGCTTGAGTTAAAGGCAGTTTAGTTTTATAAAGAACACTTTAAAACGTTTTGTGAATTGTTTGTGGTTGAATTTTACCTTAATTTGAAGCTTGTATTACGTATAATTACATACCTAACATATATATGTTGGGAAATTGATAATTTTGTAATCAAAAGTGATATTTTTTAATTTTTAGGCGATTTTCATTTGTAAGAATATTCTTAAAAAATTATCGTGTTACCATGACAACTACTTTAGATACTTCATGTTCGGAAAATACAACGGTTTTGTCAGCAAGGCGAGGGTTTCTGCATGCATGTATTTTCTAGTAATAATAATTGGCGTTATAGTCATTATAGACGTTATTAGTGATTTTAACGTTTCATTTCATTTTATTAAAATACCATGGCGCCAGAAGGCGAATTGCAACATTAAATCATAAATATATAATTACAATACATTACATGACAACACATAATATATTACAGTATTAAATTTAGTCTAAAATGTTATTATACCATATTCCAAAAATATCTAACGTTAAGTCATGTTAATTTATAAAATTATTAAAGGGAAGTCAAGTCCGTTCTTCGCATCGGTTCTGCTCATAACAATGTGAGGACCTGTAATGTGAACATTGCCCAACTTTCGAATGTTTCGAATTTTTCTGAACATAAACTCTATTTCATATTCATTTAGAAGCATAGCGAACCAAAATGGTGTTAGATATTCAGACAGTACATCGTATTTTTAAAAATAGTAAAATACAGCATTTCAAAATGTAAACAAACCGTTTGTTTACATTATGGACTTGACTTCCCCTTTAAATAAAACACATGCTAGGAATAAAACTCCATTTAAATCGTACAGATCCACATCTTGGCAGAGTAAAGTTAATTATGTGCATTTGCTCTAACTTTTCTGGTACTAGTTCAACCTCGTCCCCAGGGTCTTTTTCGTGGTGGCGAGTTTTTTCAGCCATGATGTAGGCTGGCATATCTTTCTAAAAATCGTTTTGCATAGCAAGGAACAACGTACGTTCTCTCAACAGAGAGCATCCGGATAGCACTAAAACTTCATCGTAATGCATTTCCGGATAAAGAATTTGGAAAGCTCGTTTCCGAACCCGTTCCGTCAGAAAGGAACACAATATTCCAATAGAGAGCGCACAAGGAATTTATACACAATTAGGAGTTCAGTAACATTTACACCACTAGGCGTTTAAGAACACGTAAGGTGTGGAGTAGCTTAGTCACCTTCAAGCTTTCGATGTGATATGCTCGATAAAATGTTCCATTTTAAATTAGATTGAAGAGTAAGGCCAAAAACATAATGGCCCTCATTCTGCACGTACAGCTAATTCATTAAGGCATTTCAAAAATGAAATGAATCGATTTTTGTCCCCACCATAATGGTATCCCACACAGCAATCTTGGAAATCAGTGTGTTTTTTATATATAATATTAAGTGTTAAAAGTAGTCTAATAGATGTATATATTGATGTTTTGCAAATAGTTCCTAAACACTGAAGATTTTAACGTGTTTAAATAAATGTTCAATCAATCAATCAATCAATCACGGTCAAGTGGCATTGCAACGTGAGAAAGATATAATTATTTCTTTGCATTTGCTAGGATTTAGTCACATATATTAGCTAATGCCCCAATCTCGTACCCAGAGCAATGCCTGTGCGCGGGTTAGGATGTTTACTTTATCTAGCCTGCTATACTTTATCAAGCACTGACTTTCGGGACCGCCATTTTCTTGGACCACTTCCGAAAACGGATGTAATATCGTCGACATATTTCCAGTTTGAATTCTTCTGCGAAGATACTGAGAGCCAGAGAGGTAATTTATTATTATAAAAAGAAGTTTGTTCAAGGGCGTCAATCTATCCCAAAAAGTGGGGGTGGGGAGGGGGACGGACTCCAAATTAGGAAGGTCCCGACTCCCGAGGTATGCTACCCAAACTTTTTTTCTAAATTTTGGTACACTGAAACGGCATTCCCAGCGTTTTTGGAGGCCCTTATATAGTTATATTACAATGTGCATGATCTTAAATGCATGTTTAACCATGTGAGAAATCCGCTAAAAACCAACATGTCCTAGCCTGTGAACAGACGTTACTCTTGACGAAACCTAACATGTCCTCACCCTTATTTTAATGCTTATGATCTATTAAATTAACCATTTGCCTCATTTTGATGATAATCATATATGTAAGGGAAAATCAGTTAGAACACAATTATTTTGAAGTATTTACAATTTTACATAATATATGCCAATGTCAGTATTTGCTCCCAGCGACTACAGAAAGATCATACATGGATATAGATTCATGTCTCGCTAATAGGGTTAGCGGTTAGGGCTAGAGTGGGAATTGGGGTTAGCATTATAAATAGCGAGACATGAATCTATAACCTCATACGTTGTACTTCTTCTTATTACTATACCATTTGCAAGCAACCGCAAAATCCAAACTTTTTTTCACATTTGTTTACGTTTCAAACGTACACGATGAGCGGGTCAAACGTGCATGTTGAAACGTAACAATTAGTTTGAACCGTGAAATATTGACGTTTGGGCGAGATATATGTATTTGATAAGCTTTTCTATAATCCTATTAAATGCTTTGCTGAAATCAAGAAAGCATGCTCGGCTCAGGAAACTTCCAGGGTTATCTACGTTTTTTAAGCCAGTTATGAATCAATAAGTCCAGTAGACAATATTGTTATAGAGCTCCCTCTATAAGACTGCCAAATTGTCGAGGATCGACACTGACGTCCTCAATCATCCAACAAACATGCAACAAAGTCTTCAAGAATTTTCGATAGAATGTGTGAGAATCTATATAGGTCTAATATAAAAAGTGTTTATGGTTGAAACCAATTCACTTTCAGACAATATTTTCCCATCTCGTTACAGTATAGACGTTATTGGCATTATAGACGTTATTGCTGTTAAACCTATTTGCAAATTGTATTAATATATGTAACATGTATTTGCGTTGCCGTTTAAGAAAAAACAGATCGACAGGTAACTAAGAGTTTTTTATAGCCCAGTTTGGACTGAAAATCGAAAAGAAACAGAAAAATCGAACTTTACTTTGTATTTAACATATTGCCGCGGTACCCTTCCAGCACGCAAAGATAAGTGTTAAGACATTAATTGACTGCTCGGTTACAATGGACCCTAGAAGTGGTTACGTGCAATAGTATATACCTAATGTTTGTATATCAATTACGAAACAATCGAAACTGATAACCAGAATATTCTGATATTTATTTAACAAATTTAACCAAAATTGAACAACACATTAAAATATTAATAAAGTATTTCTCCAACAATATAAACAGCCTTACTGGCTCACTTCCACCATATAGGAATCCCAATAAATAGTTTTATTTATTTAAAAAATTCCTGGTTTCTGATTGGCTAACAGCCAACTGTGAAATTGTCATATCAACTCAATGGCTAACCAAATACGGATTTTTGACATTCATATTAGCAAAATGATGTCAAAGAGTGAAAATGAAAAAAAATTGAACGCGTTTGCGACATATTACTATGACGACGAGAATCATATTGACTCGCTGACGCCATTGATATGATGCAATGACGGCTGCCGAAGGACTAAGGAATTGTTATTTTCTTAATACAAATAAAATACAAATGTTTGTTTTGAATTTTTTAAATAACTAAAACAATTATTGAATTCTGTTTTCACACAATATGAAGAATTATCAAGCCCTCAGTTTGCCGTTATCAATTGACCTCAGCCTTCGGCTTCGGTTGATAACGGCAAACTTCGGGCTTGATAATTCTTCATATCGTGCTCAACCTCGTTCAATAATTGTTAGGTATAAGACTGAGTCTTGCGTGGCCGCTTAAACAAACATGAGACTATGGCTACAAAAATAATTGCTAGAATATTTTGTCGGTAACCAACACAATCATTGTTATTGAATTTTAAACAATTAATTTTAATCTTTTTTGTGCCCATTAATTACAACTACTTGTGTTCTCCACTACCAGAGGACGGTAATTCAGGCACTGCAGGTTGTTGGATGATTTCAGTCGTGTCAGATACTGACGTGGCGGGTGGAATGAGAGCAACATTGTGTTCTCCACTACCAGAGGGCAGTGATTCAGGCACTGCAGGTTGTTGGATGATTTCAGACGTGTCAGATACCGACGCGGCGGATGGAATGAGAGCAACATTGTGTTCTCCACTACCAGAGGGCGGTGATTCAGGCACTGCAGGTTGTTGGATGCTTTCACACGTGTCAGATACCGACGCGGTGGATGGAATGAGAGCAACATTGTGTTCTCCACTACCAGAGGATGGCGATTCAGGCACTGCAGGTTGTTGGATGCTTTCACTCGTGTCAGATACTGACGTGGTGGATGGAATGAGAGCAACATTGTGTTCTCCACTACCAGAGGATGGTGATTGAGGCACTGCAGGTTGTTGGATGCTTTCAGTCGTGTCAGATACTGACGTGGTGGATGGAATGAGAGCAACAATGTGTTCTTCACTACCAGAGGATGGTGATTGAGGCACTGCAGGTTGTTGGATGCTTTCAGTCGTGTCTGGTAGTGACGTGAATGGAATGAGAACGTTGTCCGGCTGATCTCCCCCACATTGCATATCTGGAATCACTAAATTAAAAGAAAGTATGAGTTATTTTACAGGCGAGGTCTTGCAAACATGCAGTGCTGTCTATTAACTGGCATAATCATCAAATAATTATATTTGCATTTTGTTTTTCTACGATTTACTGAGTTTCTCAAGTGACTAAAAATTAGGAAGCACGCCATATACCAAAAATTTCAACATCTATCTGTGCATGCCTAATTAGAAATCACCTAACCCATAGTCAGAAACCACATTGCTGCCTTTTTTATCTTACAGCAATCAAATTAAATGTAATCTTACAGCATTTCAGATTTTGGTTGGTCAGTTTGTCGTGATCGAACCTCGCTATTCTTCATACATATAGTTGATGATGTTAATTAATTTTTTGTTTTATACCATGCAGGCCTTGTTGCCAAATTTGAATATTTTATTAGGATAAACGACTCGCTTTCACATAGGAGTGCTGCATATATGGTGTATTTACCAGATCAGTCTGTTTATTGCATCCATAATTATTACATAAATACATTACCTGTCCGTAATTTTTCTTGCATGATAGATGAAAAAGCACTCATGCGGACAACAATGCATCTAACACCTTTCATCACTCCATTCTCCTGCTGCAACATTTCCCTTGTTCCAGAAGGAAGGCACAAATCTTTGAAATCTCGCAATTGGTTGAAAATATATGCCTTCTTTTTTTTTGTTTACTTGGAATGCAATCCCACCTGATTGCAATGGCCTCCAAGAAGGCAAGCTCGGTCTTTCTCACAAAGTAAGATATCTGTTGAATTTAAAAAAACGCAAAATTAATGGTACATTAATTAAATGTTTTGACAGTATTTAAAAAAAATTCAATTTGAATAATAGAGAAAAAATGCCATGCTTTTGAATAAACAATTTAAAAAAATGTTTACCTCCTTATTTGTTTTACCAGCACATGCTGATATCACTGTATGACCAATTTTATCAAATATGGTTTCAGGTTGTAGATTTTTGTCTACTTCTTCTGTGCCTGTGTCTATAAGCGATTCACAATTAAGCCTTCCCTTCTTTGCCTAAATTTATAAAAAAAATTTAATTAGTTTAATCGGATTCGGGAAGACTGTTTAATGCGAATAATTATCGTGTGTGTTGCAACAGTTGCATTATGACGTTTCTAGGCAGTTTGATTGACGTTGCGAGGGCGCGGCTTATATAAATTGTGAGAGAAACATCGTGTTCTAGCTCACATAATATTTGTTGAATTTTATTTCGTCAATGTTACTTCTTCTGGTTTTGCTCGATAATGCTTTTCCTTGTTCGTAAACTGTAAAATTCCCGCCATAAACGGTTGAATTTTAAAAGTAACATATAAACCGCCCCCTCGCAATGTCAATCAACCTGCCTAGAAACGTCAAATGCCAACTGTTGCAACGCACACGATAATTATTCGCATTAAACAGTCTTCCCGATCGAATCCGCAGTATATGCAAATTGATCTATATCTTGGTCCCCAAAAAGCTCAATTTAGATACGAAAGGACATATAGTTCCATATGATTGCATCTTTGGCATGGTTTGTATGTGGAGACCAAACTTTATAAAATATTTGCCTGCATGGTGATTTCACACTGACACAAACCTCACAGATTAACACATTAATATGCTATCAAACTGACTATGTTAAAAAGTGCTGCTCAAATGATGAGGAAGGACGAAGTTTACAGTTTATTCATATCAGACATCTCAGTCAGGTCAGTAGTGGAGGGGAGGGGATGAGGTAGACTCAGGGGGTCTGAACCCCAGCTTGTTAAAATTTCATGTTGACTATAAGGTGCATGCATGGGGTCAGAGCCCCCTAGATTTTTTGCATGTTGCATAATCTTAACAGTAAACGAGAATGTTTTTTAGAATTGCATTTCAAATTGGTTGTTGAAGCCAATCCTGACTTTATCTGATTTAAACTCTGTCCAGGGTTAATTTCACACTTGAGTGTTTTCAATTTGGTTGATTTTATGTGCAGTTGCTATTAAAGAGCTTTCCCGAAGACATTTCAAAATATATGTTACAACATACAGTATTAATGTATATAAATATTAGGCTGTTAGCAATATGGAATATTTAGACAGAGTCACTGTCCCTGAGCCAGAAATTTTCATATTTTCTGAACTCTGCTTTTCCACTGGGCGAAATTGCTTGGAGAAAGGGAAGTTCATCCCGTCCTGTTTTTTGATGGCAATTTTTCCGCTAACCATATCACTGAATTAGTTTTCACTTGGATAAGGTACACCACATCTTCAAAAAGTGGTACAGAAGCCCTGAATTACATACCCTTCTGAGATGATCAGAATATTTTATATTACGTAATAACAGCAATTGTTTTTAACAAGAATAATTTTGAATCTCAAATGCCAGTCAATTACTACAAAACCCCCTAACAACAAAATTTAGAATATCCAAAATATCATACTGTACATTATATCCCCCTCCCCCAATTCAGCTAGACACATTTATAGAGTCCCCTTATTTATAACATCACAACTCAAAATATAGAAATCAACAAATAAAATGTAAACTTCATTCTTCATCATCTGAGCATATTAATAGCAAAACAATAAAAAATGAGGGGACAATTTTGTGTCATCTTATAATTTTTGATAAAAGAACTATAATTACAAAAATTAATATAAATATGAATTTTGTGTGTTGGTGTTATGTACTCAGGTGAATATATGATGTTTGTGATGTTACTCTGAGTGTGTATCCACACCGGGCAAGCTTGAGAAATATGCCTGACCACGGTGGGAAAATTCTCAAGCTTGCCCGGTGTGGATACACACTCAGAGTAACATCACAAACATAATATAAATATAATTATATTTATATTAATTTTTGTAATTAAATTACAAAAATCTATATAAATTAGTAGAAAATGTATAGAATCACCTTGTTCATGATTGATCGCTGGCTGGCAAAGTATTTTACAAATTCTTGAACAGTCCTTGATGTCTCCTCGTTTACCTCCTCTGGAATATTAAATTCCTGTTGATCTTGCATATTGTCATTGAGAAGGTATTGCAGGGTGTAGAAAAGAACATGAACAACTGCAGAAAGTCTACAACAGATGCCATAGAACATGCATTTAAATTATTACCAATTATGCCTTTAAATTACTATGCATGTCTATATAATCTATGCTGGACAGTTTTACATAGCAAGGGAAGGAAGGGTCTGGCCTGTTAATTAAGCTAGCTGTTAACAATTAACTCATTAACGCGCAAGCTGTTACAATGTTTCTACCCCCCTAACGTCCAAGCAATATGGCGAATACGTGACTGAATTCAAGAGCTTTCACCAAAATGGCAATATCTCAGAAACAGTTGCATGAAAAAATCTGGTCTTTTCAACCAAATATTATTAATATATGATTGACCAAATTTAGTTTAAATGAACTTGCATACGTATATATATCATTAGTTTTTTCAATGAGAATTTTTATTTGTAAACCAGTGACACTATTTTTTTCATGTCACTCATCACCCAAAGGGGCAATATCTCCATATATTTATATAAAAACAAAAAAAAAATTATTTACTAAATTAGTACATATCTATATTATAACCAGTTTTCATCTATTGGGATATGAATTAGAAAATGATCAAAAATTATAAAAAATACTCCTTTGCTTTTTTGGGCAAGATGTTTACAACATGAAATTTAGAACAGTAACTAAGTGTTAAAATTCAACAAAATGTGCAAGCCAAAACACAGTGCTTGTACATCTTTGGAGTTTTTAATTACCTCAAATATATTTAAAAGGACATACGGTACTAGAATCTATTTGTTTTCAATATAAACCAAGGATGGGAAGATGAGAAAATAGGAATTTTCTGAGGTGTTTTTAACACAGACAATGACAGCCGACATTTTCAAAGGCAAATTGCGGTGACAAAACCAAAAGTTATTCACTTCTCTACTCAAAGCACTGAAAAACACCATAAAGAGAAAAACATTTTAAACATACATCAGGTAAGCCTTTTAGCTCAATTTTCTCATGTTTCTGTTTGGAAAGAAACGGTTTTTAGCCAAAATTATTTTGCGCGCCAATGTAGGCTGCTATAAAATGTCAGACACGCGTTCTCTTTTGAAGTCTGGCTCTGAAAAACAATCGCTTTTTTTTAGTTTGAAATAAGCTTTCATTAGGACTAATTGTGTAGAAATGTTCTCTGTATGCTCAAATGAAAAAGATAACCTAATAGTCAGGTATTCAACATAGCTATAAAAGGGTGAAATAAGGACTTTCATCTTTGGTTGTTTGTCAGACATGAGAAACCACATTAGTGCCATTTTGTCGCGCGTGCTATTTTATAAAATAAACACCTCAAAACCATAAACTTTTAGTTCAGAAAATTACAAAGTTTCCCATAGACATTATTAAAAATGTTCTAGTGAAACGATTTCATGATAAATAAGCGAGCAATGGGCCCGAAAGGACGGCTAAATTATGTTTTTGGTGGGACTTCAGTTTCATGGCTTCCCTCAAAGGAAGCCATTTCAGAGAGAAGCGACAACAACGGCAAACAACCGTCGCGACCAAATTTTGATAACTTTTCCTTCTGATTCAACATGTAGTTACTAGAAAATGAGGTTGGATCAACATTACTATCTGCCTTATCGATTTAAAGTTTTATGGGGATATAAAACCCAATACAAAAAGCATTTAGAACTCAAGTGCGGACTTTTTGAGAATTCGCACGCGGCAAGCAAGCGCATTAATTCAATACACTTATTTCAAACCACAATATGTCTGAAACGAGTTGTCATTTTAAGACTAAATTGATGAAAATAGATATAACAGTGATTTTGGAGTACCCTACTTACTTAGTGTAATTTAATACTCGAAGTATTCTTGCCAAATAGGGCACGTACGCACACAGTAATTTAATCTGGTGTCGTTTGAAACATACTTTAGCTAAAATAACAACTTGAACAAGAAGACCAACAATGGGGTTACGAAAACAGTCGAAATTGTGCCCAAATTTGCATAAACAGTTTGTCTAAAAAGATAACTTTAAACTAGATTCAACCAACATTAATGCAGTCGAATTTTGTGAGTGTTTGATCGCATATTTCTACTCAAAAATACCCTTTAAAAAATCGTATCTGCTCACTTGTGTTCCGTGTTCATCTTTCTTGTGATTTCCGACTTCTATTTTTAATAAAGTTTGGAGAAATCCTCATCTTTTTGGCTGAAAATCTCGCGCTTGGTTCACAGAAAAACTTGGCCCCAAAACGTCAATACATTCGCTTTCCTTTCATGCCAAATTTTCGTTGTATTTGATTCAGAAACCTCTTCTTTTCTTGCTTTTAAAACTTGCTGTAAAATCTTTCTTTGTAGCAGAATCGCCATTATTCATTATTTTTGGAAAACTAAGATTTTAAACTTGAAAAACTTTGCGAGTTTCTGACCGATTTTCTTGCATGATACACCGTTGAAAAGCTCGAATTTCACGTTCTATTTTCGTATCCGTTGCTAGGCAACCCGATAAACACGTGCTCAAATATCATGCCCGCAAGTTAAGGTGTCATGCCAGGGCGCATTCGGGCGCATTGCCCGTTACCCACTTGTCAATCTCAGGGCGCATACGGGCGCATTGCGCGTTAATGAGTTAAACAACCTGCCAATGAACAAATTAACACGTTGTTTCTCTGTCCTTAATTTTTCCAATTAAGGTGGCTCGATTCATTATACAGTTACCCTGGATTCCAGAGCCTTCGACAGTAAATAATAAATTGAAATGTCGCGAAGGCTCTGGTTCAACGGGAAGATTCTTTGATTAAACTACGCCAATCACAAAACAGAATTAGTGGTTTTAGTACAGTGATTGGCGCGGTTTAATCAAAGAATCTCTCCGTTGAACCAGAACCTTCGCGACGTTTCAATTTATTATTTACTGTCGAAGGCTCTGGAATCCAGGGTATTATACAATCAGTTATTTAAAAAAATCGAAAATTCACAATTTAGATGCGTATTTTTGGACAGTTATTACTTGTTGTACAATTTACATTACTTATATAAAATAACATCTAAAGAGTTTGAAATTTTGCACTGAAAGCACAGAATACTACACAGAAGTCCATCTCCATTGTTTTTTGCGTAAGCGCTGTTCGTCATGATTCATCACTCAGCAAGTACCGTAAACAGAAGCAATCACCCCCTGGACGTGCGCCATTTTTAGTATTTCCAGGGGGGAATGATTCTGTTTACGGTACTTGTTGAGTGAGGAATCATGACGAACAGAGCTTACGCTAAAAACAATGGAGATGGACTTCTGTGTAGTATTCTGTGCTAAAAGTTATGCAAGTAATGCAACTGCCGTTGCTATGGCAACAACTGTAGCAACAATGACGTTTCAAGATGGCGGATATTTTGGCCACAGAAAAGAAAATACATTAGAAGTCTCACTGTACACCTTTCCCTAACATTTTCGTGTCCGCGATTTTCGCCTTGTGGATCACAAATTTTGCACGCTAGATGATGTGTGTGACAGGTGCGGATCCAGCCTAAATCCTGACCGTGGCGCACTCCAAAACCGCGCATAATTAGGGGGGTCCGTCCGGGGGCATTCCCCCCCGGAAAATGTTTGAAATATGAACCCCGGAAATGCCATTTCCTGAGTTCTGAGCATCGAATTCTATCATATAATTCGTCATTAATTACGCCATATTTTAGACAGCAAATAACGAAACGCACTAAATAAGTCAAATATTTAAACAACATACCATGTTTTTCAGTGAACGTTACAACATTAGAATGCTACAAAATCACTGTACTTACATAAAACCACAATTCTGTACCGCACGTACTGTTCCTGTGTATTTCAGGTTCTTCGTAGCAAAAAATATCCAATTAGGGCTGTACATCGAACTCAATCATCTTGGCATTTCAGTTGCAACGTAGATCCTTTACGGGGTGGGTTTTTTTCAGCTGCACATCGATACCAAGTGTTTTATTCTCGATCATTTGCTTAAACTGTGTAGCACGGTGAGTTGCCGTTGCGTGAACATTGGATTTTTCACCATGCTGACATAGTTTCTGGACAGCAGAAGCACTTGGAGGAAGAGCACTGGTCATCAATCATTGGAGCTGGCTTGCATTATGCGTGCTTTCACCGTCAAAAAGAACACAAGTGACGCAAAAACCACCGTTTGCCACAGCAGAGTAAGCCAACCATGGAAATCGTGATAACCATGCCAACCGGAAACGTCTACTTTCGTGTGGAGGAAAAGAAAAATCCGAACCAGGTTTCCAATGGCAATGATTGCACAGAATTTCGTACTTTTTCGAAACAGGAAGACTGGACACCAGATTTACGTAGTTGTAGATATCATCTGGCCACGAATTGGTGGAAGTTAGTTGTGTTTTGGTGTTATATTTTTCTGAAGTAGGGCCAGTGTTGGGAGTTTCAGTTGAAATTCCTTTACTAGTGCTGGGAAATTTGATTTCACTGTCTACAGTTTCTTGTGTGTTGCACGCTCGTTTCACAAGAAGCGCATCGATCTAAGCTAAATTGTTTTCTTTTTGGACCAGTCGTCTGCTTTTTAGGAAATGTAGTCACTTGTGTAGAGGAAGGAGCAGAAAAAACTGTAGTAGAAACTTTAGGAGGAACTTTAGGATGAACTGGCATCGCAGACTTCAATAAGGTTGGAAGGTGTGCTTTAAAATAAGACTTTAAAATAATGGTCTCGTGGCTGAAGTGCTTTAACTGGTTTGCACAAGGTAACAAAACGATTTTTGGTAGATAGAATTCTTCGATCAACCAAATAAGACGGTGGCATCGCAGCACAATGAAAGATATGGACATATTCAATTGCACTGCCATCAAGATAATCCTGTGGTATACTGTATTGTACAATTGAATCCAAGGAATCCCAATTTTCTTTCGCTACAGTATCATTGGTGAGTGGGTAGAATGACTGAATGGCACACTGAATTACTGTGGACAAGGCAAACATGCACACCATGGATGAGAATGTGTAATTTTTTGCAGTTTCCTTTGCAGTTTTAGATTCGGGATTAGGTTTTAATGTCAGGATTTGGATCAGGATGACATCATCCACAACAACATCAATATTCATGCACAACAAACACCTGTGAGGTAGTCACCCTCCAGGGGTCAGTTGTTAAAAATATTTGTTGTGTTGGTCTAATGTACTCTGGTGAATAAGATGCTTGTGTGATGTTATTAGAAAATTATGTTAGGGTTAGTAATCCAAGTGAGAATATATACATTTCAGGGCTGCAGAATATATACATTTGACTTGACAGGACATTTGTCCGATCACTTTTAGTTTTGGTCGGACATAACTTGAATTTGGTCGGACAAAAACCAACACCGCTATATACGTCACAAGATATATATATAAGTCACGAGACAAGTATGTATAGCCATTCCGGCGCAACGTTCAGTAAAATGCTAGAATGCCTCGTAAATTTTATTGCAAACTGCAAATTGAGTGAATTTGCAATCGGATTTTGTCACAGCAAAAAAATGTATAATGTGACAATTTTTTTTGTGATCGGACCAATGTCCGATCAAAATTACTTTTGCCCGGACATTTGCCAAATTTAGTCGGACATTGTCCGATGTCCGACAGTAATTTGCAGCCCTGACATTTTAAGACCTAACCAGGAACGACTGTGCAAAATGCAGCACAAGGTCCTCTGGTAGGAAATGAACCTACGGCCCTGCGATTCCTACCAGAGGACCTTGTGCTGCATTTTTCGCAGTCGTTCCTGGTTAGGTCTTAAAATGTATATATTCTCACTTGGATTACAAATCCCTAACATTCTAATATTAATTCCACCAAGTGAAGTGCAAGAATCCATATTGTGTGATGTTACTCTGACTGTATATCCACACCGCATAGCTCAGTTGGCAGAGCATTGGGCTAGTATTCCAAAGGTCGTAGGTTCCAATTCCACCATGGCCAGGCATATTTTTCAACCCTGCCCGGTGTGGATATACACTCAGAGTAATATCACACGAGCAATTTAGAAATATTTCTTCAGAAATCTTGTCTGGATGAATGAAAGTTTTCTTCAAAGCTTCGAAGTAAACAGGCATGCAGAAACACACAAACAAAAACACTAGGTTAAATTTTAACCAAGGATTAGCCTTAGCTCAGAAGAACCGACCCCTGGTCAACCTACAAATATTAAGGCGCTATATTTAAAACTTGGTGAAACCAAATAGACGACTATATAGACCTAATACTGAAGTAAACATTTCATTTTACAGTCGACAATCAAATGTTGTAGCCGTAAACTGTAGCAAAATACTGATAACAGTTTTAAACAGAGTTTTTACTAATATTGCACGACTACATAGCGGATAAATGCAATTTATATTTTATTAACCGCCATGTGTTCGAGATCATATTACTATTTCACTATAAACAAAAATTTACATACATACAAATTTGCATGCACAAATTATTCCCTGACCCCAGCGTAAATGCAAATTTAATATAAGTCGATTAAAAATTCTTACCTAACAGGAACATTAGGCCCAGATCTTTCAGTTTGGCTCTTAGAGAACTGCAGTTTTGAAAATTCGCACGTTGGCAGCAGATGTTGCCAATAGATGCAACGGCGCGATAAATTCATCATATTGTTGCCTCAAGAGCGATAATTCCCCTGAAATATGTTCGCTTAGGTTTGCTTGTTGAAAGATTTCAACAAGCTTGCTAAGAACATCGACTTTTTTTAAAAGCTTCCATCCTGATAGCATCCTTTTCCTTGTAGCTTGTGATGTATTATTCTTTATCCCGTCAAGTCGACAAGTATCGAACTTTATTGTTGATCATTTGTATTGCGCAATCAAAATAGAGCCACCGTGGCAGACCGTGGCGCACATGACCAAAACTTGCGCTGTGATTGGTTTGCAACGCTGCACCGTGGCAGAAAGTTACTATATTTAGTAACAATTGCGCAATTTTTTGCACGCTGACCGTGGCATTTTGTGGCTGTGATCGCAGCTTCGAATTTACGACTGTTTTCCGAACATATTCGGCACAATTCGGCACGCTTTCGGCGGTTTTTATAGTTCAGTGTTTAACTGGATAATTATACTATTGAACAAGGAATATATTTCGGAAGTTTTTCCTGCTTTTAGCACATATTACTGTAATATGAGAACAATTACAAAAGATATTATTCAAATTGTTTGCTATAGACCTATATTTGCTCAATTTTGCTGTATTTCAAATAACTAATATATACTTCTTAAAAATGCGTAATGCAGTCTAATGTAGTATCCAACAAAGGTGAACCCCGGAAAATCCTAGGTGGGAAAAATCTGACCGTGGCTCGAGCCACTTTTGCCATGATCTGGATCCGCGCCTGGTGTGTGACACTTGCTGCGAACATCACATCAGCATTCGTCAGTGTCATTCCCTCGGTCATTCCTCAAATCAACGGTTTTTCTTGAAATTCGCAAAACATGCTCAAAGTGTACGCTGCATGCATATTCTGCAATAATTGTGCAAATATTTTACGCTTTTGTTTTTTAAGTTGTGTCTTCCTGTTGCGATGACCCATCATTTGAACCTGTGGCATTTACAAAACGGTTAAAACATCAATCTTTATTACCTTAAGTGATAGCAATTGCATGATGTTGTTGAACGCGTTTGATTACACTTTCTGGCTCGCGCATAAAAAATCTCGGACATAATTTTGGCTCAGTGAGACTTCTGGCGGTCTATTTTCTATTCTGTGTTTTCGCTTCAAACTCAACTTGAAAGTAGTTTAACTCGTAACGACATTGGTAACCCCCAAATTTTGGCTTAAATTATGTAAAGGTGATTTATATTCATAATAGTTTTTTTTAGTGCCCGTAACCCCAAAATTGATTTTCAGCTTGTTAAAAGTATGCTACCAGTGGAACAGTATTCACTCAGCGAAAAAAAAAATTGCGTTTGGTTGAAAAGCAAACATTTTAGAGCCACTTGAATTATGGATTGCTTGGTTAATGGACGTTGTGTACGGGAGTCTGGGTCTAGCACAATTTCTGACGTCACGAGAGTTACTGAATATCAACTAAAACTTTGAACTCAAAATCATCATGGTGATATGGTAAATCTTTCGAAGTTATTATCGTCGTATTTCAGGAATATTACAATTTATAGTACGTTATGTTCAAAATAGGCAGGGTTACATGATCTTTGATACACTTGCAATTGTTGTCACACGCGTGCTAAACTGCAGCTTCTCTATATTTTACGATCATTTTTAGTGAGAATTTTCACAGGTTTATGAAACTTTGCCACAGTTTCTAACTACGCTGATCGATCCACCAAGGATAAACTATGTTGTAGGTGTTATGCTTTTAAGTTGTCTCTGCGGCAACATTTCATTGCCACATACCGATCATATGACAAGACAATTTACACTATCTTACAATTTGGTGCGCTATTCGGTCACCACAAAGTTCGGATCACTAGATGTAAACCGGAAGTATTTTAGTTATTTCAGGATCAAAGTATTGTGTTTTAACGGGAAAGTGTGAAGTGCGCATATATTTCTTAGTGTTAGAGTAGGCAACAAATACTTTGTACTCTCAGATCTCAAGCACATATCAAATGGCATTATAGTTACGATTCCAATGCAAATAATATAGCGAATGCGTTTTAGAACATAAATTAACATAACATAAATATATCATGCAACGACTATTAGCGCAAACGGTAAGCTTCGAAAATCATGATTTTCGACAAAACAAATGTGCTATTATAGACACGATCAGTACCAGGCCAATTTTATAGTTCCTTGTTATTGATACTTGTTATTGTTGAGTAAACTGCCAGGCAAACTGTAACCTTTTAAGTGAGATTTTGATCTAGACAAGTCTGGACAAACATTTCATCACAGCTTGAAAGACCATCGCAAAATTAGTAATATTCCGAAGTTTCGTTGCAAAATGTTGTAAAATGCGGATAATATAGCCTTGCGAAGTTTGCCGTTTTTCAGTCATTTAGATTACAAATGGGAAATTGATAATCAGATCATCAAACTGATTATCAATTTCCCGTTTGTAATCAAAATGACTGAAAAACGGCAAATTTCGCAAGGCTATATTATCCGCATTTTACAACATTTCACAACGAAACTTCGGAATATTACTAATTTTGTGATGCTCTTTCAAGTTGTGATGAAATTTTTGTCTGGACTTGTCTGGATCAAAATTTCACTTAAAAGGGGAAAGGTCAATAGCAGGGGCAAGCAGTTGCATAACTTTTGAGTTTTGTGCAAAAATTCAAACTCTTTACGACTTTAGTCTTTAGACTGATGTTGTTTTATATAAGTGAGGTAATTTTGTTTATGAACAGGTAATTACTAGTAATTGTCCAAAACTATGCATCTAAATTGTGAATATTCCATTTTTTTACAAACTGTATTGAGCCATCAGAACCATTAGCAGGTCCATTATAGTTTTGCTTTCATTTTTAACATGCATGCATGCAAAAGCTAGCTCATTCGATCGTTTTAGTATAGCTATTAATTAGCTATTTTTAGCTGAGGAATAATGCATTAATAGTGCTGTATTAACACGTGCAGTATATTGCCACAAGATGATGCAGTTTAATAATATTAAGTGCTTGCCAAACTTTTTAATGAAATACTTATCATGAGGTGGGATTTCAAAACTAATGCAACTATGCAAGTCTGAGGGGGGCATTGGGGGTATTCAATACCGTAATAATACATACTGTGTACCGCAAGATTTTCAATATCGTAATACCACAATTTTTCAAGGAAAATACCGAGAAACCGTAAGAAAATAAGCTAATACCGCCATACCATAAATCCCAATGTCCCCCCCCAAGTCTGAGTGGCCCTCATAGTCAGCCCTAATTAATGTTTACCTAACAAAAATCTTCCTGTCCTTTGAAATGTTGTCTTCTATTATTATGTTTTCTTGTAACTGTTTGTTCATCTCAGCAACAATTTCATCAACTTTTTGAAATACTTTTTTAGCTTCCGTCTAGAAAGTATATGTTTTGGATGCAATGTGTACATCATAGATTTTGCTGTAAACATCCAATTAAAAACAAAAAATTAATTATTATTTCTGCAGGAGTCAGAGCAGCTAATTTTTACGATATCTTGAGCGACTGCTCCAAAAGTGTTATATTTTAGCTACAAAATGCCTGTCAAAAAGTCAGGATCGATTAGACAAATACAAACTCAAAAAACTACCCAAAAAGTTAAAATAATACTAATTAAAAATACAGTGATCAAGTTGATTTTAATATAGACTTTAAGTAACAAGCGCAAAATGTGCTTAATTCTCTATATTGTATATATTATATATATTATATATAGTAATTTAATCTGGTGTCGTTTGAAACATACTTTAGCTAAAATAACAACTTGAACCAAGGGAGCACGCAAGAGTTCGTTTTGCCTGTCTTTTAATCACTTTATTACCTTCGTTTTGTTTTTGTCCGCCATTTTGAAATATATGCGGTATCATTCATTAATGTATCGCAGGCGCTTATCACGAAGTTCGGCCGAACGAGTTCCGAACCCGAAAATTTTAAAAATAACGGGTGAAGAGAAAAACGAAGGAAGAAAAATTGCGGGGGAGTGAAACTTCAGAGATTTTGTCATATGATGCTGGTTGACTGTTGCCAGGAACATTTTTGTTGCTAGGAACATCTAATTATATATTCACAAATTATTGTAATATGAATTATGGTATAAATTTAAACCATCTTGATCGGTGAGTATATTAGCCTGCGTTGCAGACGCTTCGTATTTCATGATGAAAGGACTCAAACACAATTGTAATTTTTGAATTTGATAATTCTCTTTGACTTGGCTTATACTTTGGACAGGCCTATTTATTTATTTATTTATTTATTTAAATTACCGGTACAGAATTCGAACAAGGTTTTGTTATACTGTTTCTGATAATTGTCTGTTGGCCAGCGAGGACGTTTATAAAAGTTATGTAAGTAGTTGCCACTCTGATAATGTAGTTCCAACACAACCTTCTGTTTTTGGACGTCACCTGGCAGATGCAATTCCCAACGTTAAAAAAATCAAGAAGCGAATTCCTGGTACAAAGAATCAATACAAGTATCCTTCCATATTAAATCCACTACATAGTCGTTGTATGATCGAACTGCATACTTTTGTAGATTTACACCATGCAGTATAAAATGTGATTTGACTTGTCGTGCAGTAAATTATAACCTTTGCAGTATTAAAAGCAGTTGCATTTGGATAACCCAAGCTTGTGTAATTGCAGTTAGATTGTTGTAATTATAAATTGTTTATTATTTGTATATATCCTTTACTCGACAACTAAGATATTATTACAAACACTTGGCAGTTAATGAGCAAGTTGAGGAACGTGATTGTTTTAAAGAAAATATACCTTTATCGAATAACAAAATGGTGAATACAAAAAAGATGTTAGAATCATCGTTACAACATTTGTGTGATGGTGTGGAGTCTTTCATACAGAGATCAGCAGGGCTTTGTATAAATTCCAGTGAGAGTCAGTGGAGCATGTTATTCAAGAGTGACGATGTATTTGAAATCGGAAAGTATAACAATCCAAATAGAGACTGTAAAATATTTACAAGGATTAAGGTGCATGCTGACATGAATTGGAGTATCATCTTGGGGGACAGATTGTTGGACTCAAAGAACTTGCATGACATCGGCATCCAAACCAATAAAATCCTATGTGTAGATGACATAGCTCATCTTATGTCAATCGCAGACAATTTGCGCCTCTGTACCGGTGTTACTTGTACGTCGTATGAGGATCTACCAAAACTGACAAAGGACATTAATGGAAATGTGGCTGGCAAGTACGAAGAAAACGCTGTAATAAGTCCAAATGGAGTAATACATAGCTCTTGCAGGAGATCCATATCTTGTACTGGAGTTCTCAGACAAGGTACTTTTGCCAGTGTTTGCCCTTCATGCAGTAAGCTACGCAAACACCTTAGTTCACAACTTTCCAAGTTGAATAAAAATAACCAACAAGCAACAACAACAAGTATGAGCAACTCAAGTAGCAAGGTTAATAAGAGATTTCTTACAAACGAACAGTTGCATGAACGAGAAGATGATCAAAAACGGAGGAGGAAAAATGCAGAGAAAAGGGAAATATATTGGCGTGCCAAAGCGGTGGAGGAGAAGAGAATGAGAAAAATTGCAGAACAAGACAACCGTGATTTGCTTATTATGTTTGAAACAGTGAACAAAGAAGAAAATACTTCCTTTCCTGATAATCCTGAAATGGCCATGTTTTGGGAGATGCAGAAGGATGTCATAAGCAAATCAAACAACAAAGGACAAATCAGATGGCATCCATTGTAAGTAATATACTATACTGTACATCTTACACTTAGTGTGGTGACACTTAGTGTGGTGATATTGTTATGGTACAGGCACAACTAGATATTAATTTCTCTTTCACCATGATGACCCAAATTCTAATTCCATCCCTAAACACCTAATTAATCCCTATAAATCAATGAAATCCTAAATATAATAAGTCTGTGCAGGACAAAATATAATTATCAGAATATATTATGACTTGAGGTCACAATCACAGGGGTACAAACTCACCCCCACAATACTCATTGCTAGTAATAAATATCTATAACACAATAGAATAATAAAGATTGGCCGATTTCAATAATGGTTAATTTCTAAATGCAATGAAAAACTTCATTCAAACTACTATTGATATCATCAGCAAAACAGATATTTTTGTTAATATATGCATGTCTAACCATATTATGTTTCTTATAATTTATTAAGGGTTATAAAGACATGCTTGGCCATTTGGCATCGTTCAAAAAACGCGTATCGAGTGCTTGAAGAATCTGGTTTTATCAAATTGCCATCAAAACGACTATTGCAATATCACAAATCTAAAATAAAACAGGTACTGGTAATATATTTTCAAAACTGTATATATATACTGAAAATATGTTCAGTTTGCATATACTGTATATATTAAAATTAATGGTGTTAAATGGTTATGCATTACAGAGACCTGGTACAAATAAGGAAATGCTGTCTTTAATGCATCAAATGGCTCATGACAGCAAATTGCCTCCAGCTGGTTACTGTGGCACTATACTATTTGACGAAATGTCTATTCAGGTCAGCAACAGGGAGTACAGATCAGCTAGATGGGCCAGAAGACAAATTTACTTGCTCCCCAATTAAATGGTTTTGTATTAAAATATTTTGAGTTTAAGGGACCAATTACATGGAGCATTTTCAACCCAGTGAGACTATTGCTGCACATCAGGTCTGCATCTTAAAACAAAACACTGCATACAACAAACTGTTTCAACCCATAGCTGAAATCATCCATGCAGATGCACCAGTTATACTTAATGGGTTGAAATCAAAATGCAGGGAACAGCTTTTGTCCAATGGACCCCACAAAGCTTGCATGAACCTTTGGCATTGAGTGTTCATATTTTATGCACCCCAAAATATTCGCAACTATTTACATTGGTCACAGTTGATCGTAATTGCCCCTGACAATTAAAAACTATTGAACAACTGGACTAGCTATCAGAACTGTTTCATGGTATGCATTAATATAAAAACGAGTGCCTGCATGTTTCTTTTTAGGATGATGTGCAGTTATAGTGATGTGCACTCATTTGAAATTGTAGGAATAGTGAACCTAGGAGAAGTTTACAATAACATCAAAGCATTGCAAACAGGTTACAACTAGAATAAGTGAATAACTAATTAAGTTACTATACCTGACCACTGGGGCTTGAGTATAGAGAAAATGGCCTGCCAGTCTAAAAATTTTTGGCAGGTGAAATAAATTTCAGCCTGCTGTGCATTTTATTCATTGAACTGCCAAAATGGCGATGTCTCATTTGAGTCATATTGTAAAAATCAATGTTTTCACGATATGATTTTTTTATTATTTTTAAACTTGACTATTGTACTACAATAAACTGGGATTTACATTTCAAATATAAATTAACGTATTTATAGTCAACTGAATGACCTATATGAGTTGTGATAAGCAAATGAGATGAAATATATCTATAGAATTTCACCTGCCATTTTTTTTTAACCTGGCAGTTCAAATTTGTTTTTGCTTGCCAGTTCTTAAAGATATGGCCTGATTTTGGCCATTGGCAGCCCGCTATTTCGAGCCCTGGTAAATACATGCATTTATATATCTATACAGTACTATAGAACCTTGGGAGAATATGACAAAATAATAACCCATAGGATTGGTGATTTATCACCAGATATTTACATTTTCTCTAATTCCATAAGCATAATATACTGTAAAGGTCCAATCAACTTGTTGCTTGGTAGACAGTAAATATGAGCGACGTCACTCAGATCTGCAACTATGTAATAATGGCCTTATTGACATGAATGTAATTATAACTCTGGGTTTTTTTGAAGGTGAAGACCGAACTGAGATTGCAAGCCACATCCTTCAATTTATGTTTGTTGGCTCCACTGGTTTTAAGTTCCCATGTTGTTACTTCCCAACGGTTGAGGTAGATCCAGTTACTCTGTATCACACATTCTGGGATGTTGTATTTGACCTTCATGAATATGGTTTTGAAGTCGTCTTGTGTGTTTGTGATGGAGCTGAGGCTAATCGTTCATTTATCAAGTACCATTTTGAGGAGGATGCTGTGAAAGACAACTTTACAACAACAAACTTCTATACAGGGGAACCAATGATTTTCATGGTTGACCCATCTGTAAGTATACACAGATATTGAATAGCTATACATGCTGTTAATCAGATGCAGTGGCGGCACCAGGCCTCATAATTTGGGGGAGGGGGGGCAAGATAGAATTTTTAAAACGGTGCTGCTATTCGCCCATGCTGTTGTCACAGGACTTTTGTCCCCTCCCCCCCCCAGGAGATTCGCCCCCCTCTCAAAAGGGGCTGATATTCCTAGGAATATCGCCCCAGGGGACGAATGTCCTAGGAATATCACCCCCCCCCCCAGAGGGGCGAATGTCCCAGGAATATCTTCCCCTTTAGGATATTTGCCCCCCATATATGCAATGTGGTTTATTCAAATAATTTCGTGATACTTTCATCTTATTAGTGCCTTAAGGCCCATACAGACCGGACGCTATTTGGCGCAACGTACGCGACGCGAATTTTCAGTTTTCAATGACATTTAACTTCAATATTTTTCATTGTTTTTCAAATATTCCGGACCACTTAGCAATTTTAGCTATTAATTATGGTCTGCATACCTTGTAAAATTTTTATCCGTTGACGGTTTTATTTGTCAGTCAAAACTGAAAATTTGCGTTGCGTTGCCGAATCGCGTCTGGTCCATGTGGGCCTTTACACGTTTGAGAATTTAACTTTGCAAAACTATATATAAAGCTTTTTTGTCTTTTTTGAAGCATATTATTGGAGTTTTGGCGATTTTTACCATTCAGAGATTTACAAACTAATATTGAAACTGTAAAAGACAGTTTCATGTATATGCGCATTCACTGAGTAATGACAACTTATAAGCCATACATTTTCCGATAACGACAAAACGCTTGTGTAGCCTTTAGTCGCTCTCAGTGACTAATAATTTTTTTTGAGGGGGGGGGGATAATTTTGGGGGGCATGCCGCCACTGATCAGATGATGACCAATTCAATGCATTCATTTATTCACTGTATTACATACTTATAATGTATAATCTAATGACTGTACTGCACATGATGAGACTGGAAACTGCACCTATACACCCGACTAACAATACATTCTTATGTTGGATTCAACTATATCATTCCTGAAAATATATGTTTGTTCTCTTCTCTTTTTTATATATCTTATGCAGCATAACTTCAAAAAACTTCGAAATAATCTCATGAAAAGCACCACTGGTAAATCACCACGCAACTTCCAGTTGTGTGGATATAACATTCTCTGGTCCCACTTAAAGGATGCGTTTATCTATGATGTTGAAAATAATCCCATTGCCACATTCAAGTTTCTTACCCCAGACCATTTTGAACCCAACAGCGCTGGGAAAATGAGGAATTATCTTGCTGATGACGTTCTTGGTAAAAGAATGCTAGAAGTTCTTCAGGTAACAGGATAATATCGCCCACCAGATGATGTGACGTGAAACCTGGCGTAACGTTACAATACCAATTTTTTGTCAGCGAGTGTGTTCACAATTTTGGAATGAATTTTCAATTAGAACAAAATAATTTGTTTACAGAATTACAAGCGACATCTAGAAAAAGACGAAAGGAGACCAGTTACATTCCTTGACAAGACTATACAATTCATACAGACCACAAGTACTTTACTTAAAAACTTCAAGGCTAAAGCACCATACAGGTATTCCTTTATGGTAATTCAATACATCGAAGCATAGTGCATGAGTACATATTTAATCAATTGTTCATCACCGGATTTTAAAAGTTTATGATACGACATAATGTATGTGAAGATGCTAATTTAATTCCTACGTATTATTTTCCTTCATAAAAGGTCACTTGAAGATCCACGGTTGTTTGAGAATGAAAGTTGTATGGAGTGGATCATTACATGGGAAGACGATGTGAAATCACTCTCTCAACTGAAACCAGTTGAAAGAAACAAGAGATTCCTCAGTTTGAAAACGAAGTTTGATGTTATGTCGATGATCCTTGGTTTCAAGTCGTACTGCAAGACCTTATTCAGCAAGTTCCCAGGGAGTCAAGCCCATGTGTTGCTATCAAACCAGGATCCCTTAGAGAATTTCTTTGGCGAACAGAGGGCCCAAAATGGTCAAGCTGACAATCCAACTATACTTCAAACAGGTATTTCTTGATCAATATCATGTAACTTACCGGTTGAAGTACAGAGGTGAGGTGATAAAACCTGGGAGGGGAGTAATAGTGAGCTTGTTGGGATACATGATACACAATAATTACTTCGCCAATGAACTCATAAGATGGGTCATTTTTTAAGTACGATAAAACATTCGCATCCGATCTGTATCTGATATACAAACTCTGACACTGATCTGCCCTACCCTTGACCATACATGGTGGGTGCAAACTCCCTTCAGTTTTGAAATAACTATAAACTAGTAAATACATTACTACGTACAGTGTACAGTGTATTGATTAAGGTTAAGTGATATGTGCATGCCTATTTCTAACATTGAAATTTTAAAAATGTATTTTTATTTTACAGAGCATGCCACACCAGCTATAATACAGATGAAAAATAACATCATCCACAAGGGAAACTGTATGTCAGTGAACATACCAAAAGTCATCAGGTGTTAAATGATTAAAGTACTGTGTGACAGAAAACAAGTGTACAGTACATGGTATATCAAAAAAGATATTCCACTTTTAGCTTGCCTGTGCGAGTTTGATACTGAGTTTATCCAAAAAACACACTATAAAAAGTGGATTTTTTTACCCTGTGTATTTTTAAAAGATGCAACTGTAAATAACGTTAATTAAATGTATCACTTACATTCACTGTGTTTGGCTATCTGCAATATATTTTGGACATATCAGCTTATCTTTGTACTTCTTTCTATGACCTGGTTGGCCACAGTATCCACATTTTCTTCTTTTGGGTTGGTTAACTAAAATTAAAATGTATATGAATTATTACTATTAAACTGAAATAAATTACACACTGAACATGCATTATACAACATCATATTACTGTATATTAGAAATAATTTTGAATGATCACAAGGGTATGTTTAAACCATTGAGTTACATTGCGCCCTGATGCGCAATACAGTACTTTATTAATTTTACTCTGTCTAACGACAGATTATTTTACTCTGTCTAAACGCCAGGTGATTCTATTAGAGAGTTTACGAGCTGACCGCGTCGTACATCGTAAACTCCCTACTCATCAAGGAGGGAGCGCTGCATGCACTGACTAATAAAATCCTGTTGCAGAGTAAAATATTAAAGTAGGGTGCATCTGGGTGCATTGTAAGCCAATGGATTTATATGGAAGATACTACTACATTACTACTAACCATTTGTAACTTCTTGAAGTGGGCGTGGTTGTCCATTAAGTTCCATATCAGGAGTAAGTTCTTGATGTTCTGTATTATTTATAGATGCGGTTTGGGATTCATCTGCAGGAATTTGTTGTCGAGGTCGTTTCCTTTTTAGGCTGTCAAATGACTCCTGTGTGAGCTTTTCTGGACAAGGCATTGCATTTCCACTGGTTTTCAACACTTGAATGAAACCAGCACAATGGTGTTCTTTTCTGTCTTTTGAGTACGGTAGTGCATAACCTTGAAAGATGAATCTCAACTGTGCATGAGAAAAGTGATAAAACACATCTGGACCCTTTTGTGCTTGTGCCTTCAAACAAAAGTGAGTGAAATCTTTCGGAAGTGGATCACTGATGATTTCACTCACAGTTGGCATGCCTTTGGGTATTGGAGGTTTTGATTTCACCTTGCCGGAACATGTACCAGCAACACTAGGACGCAATGCAACAGACTTTTTAAGCTTCTCTTCTCGTTTGACTTTTCGAATAAATTCAGCACTGTACATGTTGGTAAATCGGTGCAGAATTCGGTAATGGATAGTTTTGCCAATTCCATCCCAAAACTGTAAGTCTGGACTGCTGTCTTCCAAGGCTTCATTCCATTCTGTATCTCCATTCAACCCTATTATTAAAATGTTTGATGTACAAAAGAAAAAACCTTATTTCAGACTGATGCAATTTGATATTCATTGAAAAAAAACCCTGGAACATATTTTTTTTACAAATTGCACTCAAGACAATGGTATTATCCACTAATGTAATACCATAATCCATTTAATAAGCCCCTATCAAATAAAACAAACCCCTCCCCCCAAGGTGTCTAAAAGAATAAGCCACGCAAGTGACTTATTAGCCCAAGTGGCTTTAAACAAACAACTAAACCGACTTACCCATAATATTGTCATCGGTAAGGTTATCCATATCTTCAATGAACTCTGTTTCTGCCAAGGCTACATCACTGTCACATGATTCAAAACATGGCACATCTATTACAGCATCTGTAGAATGAGTACATTTTTCTTCAGTATATTCACAACCTAGACATGTAAAAGAAAATTAAATGCATACAACATTTTTAAACTAGTAATTACCATCTTTGTCATTTAATAAGTATAAAACAATTCCTTACCAATAAGCCGACTTACCCATAATATTGTCATCGATAAGGTTATCCATATCTTCAATGAACTCTGTTTCTGCCAAGGCTACATCACTGTCACATGATTCAAAACATGGCACATCTATTACAGCATCTGTAGAATGAGTACATTTTTCTTCAGTATATTCACAACCTAAACATGTAAAAGAAAATTAAATACATACAACATTTTTAAACTAGTAATTACCATCTTTGTCATTTAATAAATATAAAACAATTCCTTACCAATGTTATCCATAATATTTGTCTTGTCAGTTTCATCAATAGTACAATTACTAATTGGTGTATGAGGTGTACATGTGGTAGAGTCATTGAGGTTACAGTCATTAAACATAATCTCAAATTTCTTCTTTAATTCCTCATCAGATATTAATAAGTTCCATGCTTCCTTTATAGAATTGTGTTTGAACTTGTGGAATGTTTCATCAGAAAACAAGCTTGAAGCCAATGATCCAGCAACTAACATAAATTCAAAGAATCTATCTTTGACATAGGACTTGCTACCTTTGTCATACCTTTCTATGTGCTCCATTGACTGTGGATATTTGGTTGTTTCCAGTAAAACCTCTTTGTTCTCTTTCATGTTATCGAAAATAGCCTTGATTTCTCTCTCCCGTTTTACTCTTTGCTGTACCTTTTCACATTTCGACCCTTTGTGTCTTCGGATGTAAAACAAACTTGCCTGACTCTCCTTCACTATAACCCATCCACTTAGGTCTCTTATTTTACCCATTGATTCTGGTGATGAAAATTGAACAGGGCCTTGCTTGAAGTTGGATTTATTTTCCATATACTTCTCTTTTGTCTGTTTGGCAGACATTTCTAAGTAGGCTTCATACATAGCCCTTGTGAAGGCTAGGCATGCTTTACGATGTAAACCACAAACACCCATGTCAATGTCAACCATCCCCATATCTTCTAAGCACTTTTCCCACTTTCTCAATAGTTCAGTAGAGCGGAGGAAAGAATGTAACTGAGAGATTATCCCAGCCCAATTCTTTCTGTCTATTATTACAGTACCTGATGTATTGGTTTTTTGCTTAGAGGCTGCTTGCTGGGTAAAATATCCTATAATCCACAACATGAAGCTGACGAGGTGCTTGTTCAGTTGCTCCATATTCTTTGCAGTTTGAAGGCCCAAAGAATTGAAAAACAAATTCATTTCTTCACTGACGACATGTAGTTTTATCCATTTGATTGCTGGGAGTAGATATCCAACGTTAAGCGGTTGTAGATTGGAAAATTCTTCCTGAAGAGTTGGTATATTTGGTTTACTAGCTGGACTTTCAATTGTTATCTTTGTAGCCAGGCATACCTTACCCATATCAGTAATTTCTCTGCATTTTGGGGGTAATGCATTAACATCAAACATACAGCTCTCAACGTCTTCAAACGAGTTCAGAGTCTTATAAAACATCTGAACATGTTCGTTGGGAATAACTGCTCTCTCCCTGAAATTCAGTATCCTTAAACCAGAAAGTGTCTCCGACCTTGATAAGGCTACATATGCCTGGCCATGTTCAAACACCTTCCCAAGATCAACTTCAACATAAGGAAAGCTCATAGATTGGCTCTTGTGAATTGTCATTCCGTAACACAAATCAAGTGGCAATTGTTTACGGGTTCCAACAACAATATTTCCTTCTTGAACGAGAAATTGTGTCATCTGAACGACATGCACACGGTTGTTGTCGAAACGTACACGAGGATATCCATCACTTATTCCGATTACAGTTCCTCTCAAACCGTTTACTAATGATTTGTCTAGATTCTTTAACAAAACTACTCTTGCTCCAACTTTTAGAACTAAAACTGAAACGGCAGAGCATCTTCGTTCAAATACAGACACCTTACCGTCGTCCTGTGATCTATAGACAAATTTTTCTCCAGGAATAAGTTCAATACACTCGTCATTGGCTAATTTGGCATCTTCTCTAAGAGGAAATAATCGAACTTTATCCAAAGGATCGCATTTCAAATCACGACTTAAATAATGAATTAAATTTCGGGACATAACAGAAATACAGCCATTTCTGACATCTTGAAGGAGATGGCGAAGTTCTTGCTCGTTCTGTCTAAATATTTTTGTCAACTCCAAACTAAAATCTACACATTTATTCCATAAAGTAGACTTAAAGCAGTAATCCTGTTTTTCACAGCCTTCAGTGCTGACAGGTTTGAGCTGAACGAAGTCTCCACTCAGCAACAACTGAATACCACCGAATGGTTGAGAATTACCTCGAATTCCACGAGCAACATAATCGAGCTTTTCGAACAGGGCAGCTCCAATCATAGATATCTCGTCTATAACTAAAATTCTGCAATCATTCCAACGTTTAACAGCTTCTTCATTCGATATAACAGTGCCTAAGAGCTCGTGTGAAGATTTTGTTCCAGTGTTTATTCCAGCAAATGCATGTATAGTTGTTCCTGATATATTGACTGCAGCAATGCCAGTCGAAGCAGTCACAAAACAACATCCGCGAGCGGATTCTTTTTCCACAATTTTTTTTATCAAATACGACTTTCCACAGCCACCTTGTCCAGTAAGGAACAAACTGTATTTTGACTCAACTAATTTCAATATAATTTCTTGCTCGTGACTTAAAGCATGCTGTTTTGAATTCATTTCGCGCTCCCGCGAACAGCCGAACAATGAAATGTCATAAAATATGTGCCAGATTGTTTAGATTATATGAAGTTCTTGTGTATTTCTGGTTGCGACTGGGTTACGAGCATAACCCGAAATCCAAATCCAAATAACGCATAGCCATTGGTCAATAAGCCATCACGTGATGTTGATTTCACTCCCCTCCTTTCCTCAATTTTTTCCCTTTTTGCTCGGCCTTCGGGTTCGGAACTCATTCGGCCGAACTTCGTGATTAGCGCGCCTGCGATATATTAATGAATGATACCGCATATATTTCAAAATGGCGGACAAAAACAAAACGAAGGTAATAAAGTGATTAAAAGACAAGCAAAACGAACTCTTGCGTGCTCCCTTGGTTTAGGTCCATGACATGGCTATGTAACAAGCAAATAAACTCTGAAAATTTCGAACGAATTGATTCAGTATGCACAGTAGGAAAGTTTTTAGTATTTCGCAAAATGCTCATGTGACAAAAGCGATTTTAAAGTTTTTGCATATATTAGAATAACTTAGATAGAACAATATAATTGAAAATGTAACAATAGACTAAACCAATCGCATATCTTTATCGCTCCGGGTAAAATCGTGGTTTTACCCTACGAAGGTGTAGAATTTGCTGGATTTCTCTGGTTTACGTTACATTTTCGTTCTTAAAATTACACGGATTTTATAAAGAACGCTATAAAGACTACATTTTTACGTTTTTCTAAAAAATAACGAATATTGGAAAATTTGGGTGGAAGACCATCTTAATCCTAAGTCCCAAATCCGGCTAACCCATACTCTAATTCTAATCCGTAATCTTAATCCTAATCTTAATCCTAACCCTTCTCTAATCCTAACCCTAAATGTCTAAAAATAGTAACTCTCCTTAAGACGTGACTCATATGGTTTCCTTGATATATTTGAACTCAGACACAGGTCATTAGCTAGATCACATTGAACTCGCTGATTTAGACATGCATGTTCGTAATTGCTGGGGCCGGTTCAATAAAACCGTTGTTAACTTTAACTGTGATTAGTGTTAATCACTGTATGCGTTGCACAAAACGTAGTTTGTCGGATGATTAACTAATCACGTAGTTGCGTGGGGCTTGCGTGTGGTGGTTAAACAGTAAAATTACATAAAGTAAAGAGTGATTGACGATGTCTTGACATGTCTACGTTACTTAAACCAAAGTGTAAATGTACGTTTGGCAATTATATATCAATATGTTTCTTCGTATAATTTGCTCTAGGTACTCGTCTTCGAGAAATTTTCCAGTGCAAAAATATATTTTGTTTTCGCCAAAAAACCAAAGCAATCGATATAGTGTTTGAAGAGTTTATATTGTCAGGAAACATTCATACATGCACATAAAAAATATCGATTGAAAATCCTACTGAAAATTGCTTTTCATTATTTTTTAATAAATGTTGTTCATTTTAACTACGTTTTGAGAAGTTAACTATTCTTGGGTTTCACTACGGCATTATGCAGTAAATCTGAGGGGGGTCAACCTCAAATGTATTGATGTTTATCAGTGTACTGAAGTGAGAAAATGATACAAAATTCCGTGTATTTGCCACCAAACACAAGGCTATTACATAAAACGAACAATCGATTCATTCTGATAACTGCGTTTTGTTTTAGAGTTGACCCCCCCCCGTCACTTCTGTGACGTCATATAAAACCCAAGAATACCCTAACCGGCCTAACGCATCGTTAACCTTAGTTAACGCTTTATACAACCGAGTTAACTACGTGATTAAAGTTAATCACTATTTAACTACAAAATAGTGTTTAAAAAGTGATTAAGATTTTTATATAACCGGCCCCTGGGGCCGGTTGTATAAAACTTTATAATCACTTTTTTTATCACTATTTTGTAGTTAAATAGTCACTAACTTTAATCACGTATATTTAACAGTTAGGCTATTCTACGAACTCGGGTCGAATATGAGCTGATAGCCGCGCCGAATCGGCTATCGCTCATATTCGACGAGAGTGAGTGGAATAACTGTTTTATTATATACACAAGGTCTGAATTCACAGACTTTGCTTTTCGAATATTTTCAATATTTTTCTATTTTGTTTATGTTCTATTTTGATTAGTTCGTTCTTTCGGCCGATTAGTTTTTCAAATATGTATCCCAGCTAGCACATAACGTTATTACAACGTTGGTAAAAGGTTGTTGCAAAGTTAGATCTAACTTAACTTTCACACGACGTTCACACAACATTACTTTTCTATCCGGAATAAGAGCACGTGGTGTAAACGTTGGTTTAACGTTGAAATCTAACGTTCCAGGATGTCATGCGACACCTTCTTAGCAATGTTAGATTTCAACGTTGTAGCAACGTTAATGTGTAACGTTTGGACGTGACATCAAAACAACGTCGTAGACAACGTCGTCCTGACGTTAAGATTTGATATTTTCGCAACGTTCCAGGATGTTATACGATATCTTCATAGCAATGTTAGATTTTAACGTTGTAGCAACGTTAATGTGTAACGTTTGGATATGACATCAAAACAACGTCGTAAACAACGTCGTCTTGACGTTAAGATTTGATATATTCGTAAACATATGTCTTCTATTATTGAACCTGACAGTTAAACTATAGGTATAAAACCGCATCAGGCCAAATGACTTCGTATGCCTATTCAGCTGCAGGAATCGCGAGGAACGTCGCCTTGGTTAGTTCTTACTGGAAATTTTGTCCTGAAAACGTTTTATCCAACTGATTTTAAGCCAGACAGTAGGCCTTTGTATTTGGCAGCTTATCAACAACTCGCCAAATATGGTAATTCTGACCATATATACGTAAAGTGTTTGCGCCGCGGGCAAATTGAAAAGATTACGCCATTGTTCTTGGCTTGCGACGCAACTGAAATGTATGTTGACTCTGTAATCTCATCGAAGCTGCTGTATATTTCAGAAGAACTCGCTCGTCTATTTTGTTTTCGATGTAAGTATATATATTGTATTTGTAACATTTGAAACTTCCATGTGTCTATCTCATGTACGGAAAAAGGCGAACAAAGTATATTTATTTTGATATGTGTCTGCATGTTTGTTTGACGCCATATTAATTTTCATTTTACAGCGCCTCTCTTGAATCGAAGATATATTTCAGGAGTACTCGTTCATTTGTCAATGAAATCCAAGAATGACTAATTAGTATACTGTATATATTAAATATTGAACTGCCTGTGCCAGTGTAGGTGGGGATGCAACTACCTGAAACTACATATAACGAGAACTAGAAGAATTGTGACGTTTCGAAATTTTCCTTATATTGTTCAGGTAATTCTGTAATTTAAACTACAGACTGTTATTCAAGCACAGTAAGTCAGTATTACGTACGTCTATTAAGGTAATAAAATGCGGCCTAGAAAAAGTTCTGTCGCACAATTAGATTGTTCGGGTATTTACATCCCTACCAACGAAAGCTTGTTCGTATACTGAATTAAATATTATTGTCAATATTCATCCAAACTATAAATTGGATCAGTAATTTTAGCCTATATTATTTGTAAATGAAGCTCTTTCCTTAAATAAAATGATTAAATCAAAGACTTTAGTCAATTGTTCGAACGTTGATCCTAACGTTGTTACAACGTTCCTGCGAGTTCACAAAATAACGTTACTACAACGTTAATTTTCAACGTTTTCTAGACGTTAATCAAACGTTGTGAGAACGTTGAACCAACGTCGTGTTCTAACGTTAATCAAACGTTGTAAGAACGTTGAACAAACGTTAATCCTGACGTTGTCACCACGTTCCTGCGAGTTCACAAAATAACGTTACTACAACTTATAATACCAACGTTATCTCCACGTTCGGCGAACGTTCGTACAACGTTGGCACAACGTAATTGTGCTAGCTGGGATATTTTTAACTATTTTAAATTTTAAAAAATTAATTTGCTAGCGTGTAACAATTTGTAGGAGTTTTTTCATCGTGTTTTTAATCCTGTAAAAGCTATAAAAAGCGAACAACTTGCCGTTTTCTCGTTCACAAGACATCGGAAATTCAGTTTGAGCCGCCATTTTGTTTTTCTCTACTAGCAGGATATGAGCTAATATCCTGCTAGTAGAGAACCAATCAGATTGCAGAATACCTCATATCCAGACCTTGTGTATATAATAAAGTTGGTTGTATATCGGTTGTATAAAAAAGTAGTTAGCGTTAACTGTTGTTAAAACGTAGTTAAAGTTGACGATGCTTTAGGGTATCGTTAACTTCTCAAAACTTAGTTAAATATGGCGCTTGTATAGGAGGGAACAACATTTTCAGCAAAACAACAATGAAAAGTAATGCTTACCTGGGTAAGTAATCGCTGTCTTCCTTTGAATGTTTTCTGACAATATAAACTCTTCCAACGCTATCGCTTTGGTTTTTCGGCGAAAACAAAATATATTTTTGCCCGGGAAGATTTCTCGAAGACGACGTAGGGCCCAATACAAGAAGAAACATGATATATAATTGCCAAACAGTGACACTTTAGTTAACGTAGACATCTCAAGTAAAAATGGCTTTCTTCGTTGAATTTTTCTTGTTTTCTAGTTTATTTTTCATTGTTTTGAATAAAATTCCCCTCTACTTGCAAAATGCGAGTCCACAATCATGTTAAAAATGCTTGTCAGTGGTCGCTAATCGCTGCTTACTTTATGTAATTTTGGGTTTAAAACGCCCCACGCAAGTTAATTACGTGTTAGCTAATCATCCGACAAACTACATTTTGTGCAACGCAATTGACCATTTGCGTAATAGACTAAATTTTGATCTCAACAAAACTTTTATTACAGCTTGAAAGAGCATCACGAAATTAGTAATATTCCAAAGTTTCGTTGCATGCGAAATGTTGTAAAATGCGGAAAATACAGTATAGCCTTGCGAAATTTGCAATTTTCAGTCATTTTGGATTACAAACCGGAAATTGACAGCCTTGAAGGGTTTGGAGCTGTCAATTTCCCGTTTGTAATCTAAA